ATAGAATAGAATAGAATAGAATAGAATAGAATAGAATAGAATAGAATTCTTTATTGGCCAAATATGATTGGACCCACAAGGAATTTGTCTTTGGTGCATATGCTCTCAGTGTACTTAAAGGGGAAAAAAGATGCAGTTTAGTGATGAGAAAAGTAAAGTTCTTAGGCAGGAAAAAACAAAATACATGTATATAGAATAGGTGGTACTTGGCTCAGTAGCAACTGTGAGAGAGATCTAGGTATTTTAATGGAACACCACATAAGTATGACCATAAGCAGTGTTTTCATCTGCCAAAAAGCCAATGTGTTCTAGGATGCAAACAGAGGAATAGTGTCAAGACAATGAGACGTGACAGTACCGCTTTATACAGTACTAGGAAGAATACACTTGAATTCTATGTCCAGTTCTGAGCCAAGGATATTGAGGGTCTGGAAACTAAATTATATGATGAACAGTTGAGGGACCTAGAGAGAATTTTTCTGACAGTAAGAGCAATTAATTAATAGAATAGCTTGCCTCCTGGAATTATGAGCACTTCTTCACTGGAGGTTTTCAAAAATAGATAGACAACTATTTGAGATTGGTATAAACACAGAGTGGGAATAGAAGACTCCCGAGGTTCCTTACAGGCCTATGTTTCTCTGGTTCCAAAATACTCTGTTGTCTAGAAGTATAACAAAGGGAGAAGCTGTGTATCAGAAGATAAAATAACTGTCAGTCTGAATTGGGTTAGGGGAAGGTGTAATTTTTCATTTTTTCCCTATCATGTAAATACAAATGCAGGGGGGAGCATAGTTATGAAGAGACCTAAATAGAAATGTTTACACACAACTCTGTGGTTAAAAATATACTGTATTATTTGCACAGTTACTTTGTAGGTAGCTATATTTAGGAAAACAAATCAGTGGTGGGATTCAAATTTTTTTTACTACCGGTTCTGTGGATGTGGCTTGGTGGGCGTGCCAGGGGAAGGATACTGTAAAATCTCTAGTCAGAGGCAGTATTTGCCAGTTCTCCCAACTACTCAAAATTTCTGCTACTGGTTCTCCAGAACTGGTCAGAACCTGCTGAATACCACCTCTGCTTTCAATTGGACCTCATCTTAGTCTTCTGAAATCAGCGGGTGTGCTGTAAGCATAACCTTTGTATTGTGCTTACTGATTTACAATTGCTTTTAACTGAGGGAATCATAAATTGAAAGGTTCCTTGTATTAGTTAATCATCAAAATTAAGACTTGCTGGAATGAGTCTTTTATATCAGTTACCTGTGAGGTAAGTTGGTTTAAGAGAAAATAACTGGCCCCAAAGTCACCCAACTGGCATCCATGGCTTAAGTAGGATTTGAACTCAAGGTTTCTTGCTTTCTAGCCTGGTGCCTAAACCACCTAGATCTGTGATGCGTGCCAGAGGTGGCACATAGCCCTCTCAGCATGCGCGCTGTTGCCAGCTGCTCTTTGGGTTTCTAGTGTGCACATGTGCACTGGCCAGCTGGTCTCCAAAAACAGGCCATTTTCAGGTCATTTTCCGGGCCATTTTTAGCCTGTAAAACAGCATGTAAATGGACAAAAGCGGCCCCAAAATGGCATGCGAGCACCGGCCAGCTGGTCTTCTGTTTTCCGGTGTTCCAGCATGCACAGATGCATGGGCATGCACTCACATTTTGGTTTGAGCACTCGGTGCCAAAAAGGTTCACCATCACTGCCCTAGATCAATTATAAAACATAATTCTGTTTTATTGAAAACTGCCTATATAGTCTCAATTCTAATCGTAATCTCTTATACTGATCACATTGGTGTTTCTTATTTTACACCACCAGATGGAGCAATTGCCACACTTGTGAAAATATTGTTACTACAAACTGACTTGAAAGCCTCTTGTATTTCAGCTTTCAGTGTACAGCTGTAAACAATGTCTATGAAGATTCTCAACTCATCCAGATGGTCAGGTCCCAAAGGTGCTTTTTCAAGAGGCAACTGGACTTTCTGGTTTTTCTCTGAAGACATTTCACTTCTCATCTAAGAAGCTTCTGGATGAGCTGAGGAAGCTTCTTGAATGAGAAGCTAAACGTTTTCAAAGAAAAACCAGAAAGTCCAGTTGCCTCTTGAAAAAGCCCCTTTGGGACATCTGTAAGAAATGTGAAGAGTAAAAGTAAACTCAAGGACTAAAATAATAGCTTGCTTTGTTTCAGTAACCTTTGAGAGGGAAAGAGAACAACAGGTCCTTGTAAAAACAGAGAATACTTGAAATAAGAAGACTCCAACCTTTCAACTGGCATCCGAAACCAGCAATTAAAGTATAGGTAATTCTCAACTTACAACTATTCATTTAGTGACTGGTCAAAGCTACAATAGCACTGAAAAAGTGACCTAAGACCATGCTTCACACTTGTGACCATTGCGGTATCTCCAAAATTCAGATGCTTGGCTGCTGGTTGATGATGGTTGCAATGTTCTGGGGTTATGTGACCTCCTTTTGCAACTTTCTGGCAAGCCATGAGGAAGCCAGATTCACTTAACAACCACATAATTAACTTAACAACTGCAGTGATTCAGTTCACAGCTGTGGCAAGAAAGATCATAAAATGGGGTGAAACTCACTTAACAATTGTCTTGCTAAGCAATAGAAATGTGGGGCTCAGTTGTGGTCATAAGTCAAGGACTACCTATACCTACATGTTGGGGCCAGGCTATTTTAAACTGTTGCTTATACATTTAAAACACTGTATCACAGTGCTCTAATACAGGGGTCTCCAACCTTAGCAATTTTAAGCCTGGAGGACTTCAAATCCCAGAATTCCCTAGCCAACTTTGCCCTCCGGGCTTAAAGTTGCCAAGGTTGCAGACCCCTGACCTAACATATTAGAAGAGAGACAGTTTTGTGCAATGGTTAAGGCAGCAGACTGGAACTATGAGCTCTACTTCGGCAATCTTGCAAAGAAAATTGAAAGGATTTGTCCGAGAAGAAGTCAACACTGACTCAATGGAGAACATACCAGAGGTGATATTCAGCAGGTTTTGACCAGTTCTGGAGAACTGGTAGTGGAAATTTTGAATAGTCCGGAGAACTGGCAAATACCTCCTCTGACTGGCCCCACCCCCCCTCTATTCTCTGCCTCCCAAGTCCCAGCTGATTGGCTGGTTCTTCTTTGGTTGCCCTGCACAGGAGAATGGAACTGGAAAGCAGGTTAGTGGAGTGGGGAGGGAATGGGATTTCGCAGTAACCTTCCCTTGCCATGCCCACCAAGCCACACCACGCCCACCAAGCCATGCCCACAGAACCGATAGTAGAAAAATTTGAATCCCATCACTGGAAAACACACACACACACACAAATAACCTCTGAAGAGAGGTGTAGAGGTCAAATCATCAGACTAAAAGCAAAGAAACTCTGGGCTCTATTCCCATTTTGGGGACCAGGCCAGCTGGGTGAGCTTGGCCCAGTCACTCTCTCAATCTACTTAGTTTTAAAGAAAGTCTGGAAAAATTCACGGAGCATACAGCTATCAGTGACAGCTTGTCCTGATAATTGTTTAGCCTTTCCTGAATCAGAGGCAGACTAACTTCAGTGCCAGCTGCTGCAAAATAATCAGTAAGGAGGGCTGTACTTTTCTTATCTGTGTTTATGGATTCTCTGAAGGCAGCTATAAAATGAAGTTGACCAAACAAAAATAGATGTGTCCTTTGTCTGATCCAGTGTACTGTTTTTAACCTTTGCTCCTTCCTTATTGTCTGCAACAAGGAAAGGATGTGGATTTCTTACTTCTAAGAAATCTGCATACTTAGTTCAGCACTATATATGGTCTTTATCCTGCAGAATTTTCAGTCAGTGATTGCTGAACATTGTTTGCAAGGT